CTACATCATTGCTTACCGGATTTACCATGAGCTTTGAGACCCATGACATACCAAGGTCAATCGATCCCAGTTGCGCAGGGATTCGCGATTCTCTGGCGAATGACTGTATCAGAACGGCGCAGGCTACTCCGAAGGCTGGTAGCACGAGTGGCCGCGCACCCAGCGCCAAGATGGACATAACTGGCCTTAAAATGGCATCCGAATCACACATCACAAGCACGCGTATGTCGCCCCACAGTGGTACAGGTAGTTCTTCACAAGTATTCTACGGACGAGAGGACGCCAGGCGAACATACTCACAGGAGGCACGGCGACATCAAGGACATAACTTGGACACCGATGGCACACAATATTTCATAATGTCGGAACACAGAGGACCAGTTCGTGACCGATGCGTGAGATCGTTCAAGCTTTTCACCACGGGCCACGGCTCTTCTCGTCCCGTCCGAAGACGCGGGCGGCACTACCCGCAGTAGGGCCGGATGGACGCTCGCTCGCTCGCTCGCCTTCCAGATCCAGGGGGATGGGGTAGGGGGAGGGGTCAAGACTCCCTCCCCGCCCGCAAGCCGTCTCGCTCACCCCCACCCGCCCTCCCAACACATAATTACGTAGCACCCGAACCTGGCCCGAACCGCAGCATATTCAGCAGTCGTTTCTTGGGCAGCTACTGGAGGCTAATCCGCCGCCGCCCGCGCCGCCGCGCGCCCGCCGCCGCCGTCGCTGCCGCGCCGTCGCCCCCGCTGCCGGATCGCCGCCGCCGCAGCCGCTGCCGCCGCAGCCGCTGCCGCCCGCGCCGCCGCCGCGCACCGCCGCCGCGCCGCCGCCGCCGCCACCGCGCGCCGCCAGCCGCCGCAGCCGCTCCGCGCCGCCCGCCCCGCCGCCGCCGCCGTCCGCCGCCGCCGCCGCCGCCGCCGCGCCGCCCGCCGCCGCCGCGCCCTGCTGCCGAATCGCCGCCGCCGCAGCAGCCGCCACCGCAGCCGCTGCCGCCACCGCCGCCGCCGCCACCGCCGCCGCCGCCACCGCCGCCGCCACCGCCGCCGCCACCGCCGCAGCCGCCGCAGCCGCTGCCCCCGCCGCAGCCGCCGCAGCCGCCGCCCCCGCCGCAGCCGCCGCAGCCGCCGCCGCCGCCGCCGCCAAGTGTACCTTGTATTGTTTGTTGATGGGGATGGTGGGGGGAAGCCGCATCGGGTTCGCTGCGCATGTTCCGAATTTGGAGGCAGAGTGTGTGTTCGTATTGTTTTTTACAAAAGGATGGTGCGGGGGGGCCCGCATTGACCCCGGTTGGCTCCCAGTCGCCTGGTGTGTGTGTACTAATAGGGAACACTGATAATCCGCTCCCCGAAGGAGACAAAGGAACATGAACAAGAAAACGCTCTAAGCCACCCGCGCCCGAAGGGCTGGTGGGATTGCTTCCTCAGTTCGGTACATGATCGGGTTGGAACGGCTGCTGCGCGCGGTCGTCTGTTAGTTTCGGAGGTCAGAGTCACTGGGGCCTGTCAGGAGGCCGTCTGGGGCCTCTCATCGGGCCTTTGGGGGCCGCTTTTGGCCTCTGGGGTGGCCTCTGGGGACCTGCTGGCGGTCTCGGGGGCGATTTTGGGGGCGGGGGGGCACGAAATCTCAATGCAAGTTCCCCGTCTTGGACCCCTCTGATGGCCCTCTGAGGGCCCTTCCGAGGCCGTCTTGGGTCGTGTTGGGCATTTCGTGGGCCGGCTTGGGGCCTTCTTGGGGCGTCTCGGGGCCTTCTTGGGGGCCTCGTGGGTTGTCTTGGGGTGATCTGGGGGGCCTATTGGGCCTTTTTAGACTCCGTGAAGGCTGACAAGTTGCATAAGCTTCACACACACATATATATATATATATATATATATATATGCGTAAGTATATGTCTGAATGTATATATACATACATAAACACACACGCACACATATATATATATATATATATATATATATATGTATATGGATATAGATGTATGTGCGTGTGTGTGTGTGTGTGTTCGTGCGTGCGTGCGTGCGTGCGTGCGTGCGTGCGTGCGTGCGTGCGTGCGTGCGTGCGTGCGTGCGTGTGTGTGTGTGTGTGTGTGTGTGTGTTTGTGTGTTCGCGAAGGAAAGGGACGATGTTTGCCTCTTGGAGCTCTCTTGGGAAGGCTGTCAAAGGCCTCTTGGGACATCTGGGAGGCCTATTGGGCCGTCTGGAAGCCATCTGGAGCGTCTTGGACCGATCGTTCGGCGACTCCGGGCCCTCGTGGACCCTCTGCATGGCCTTTTCGAGCCCTCTAACCCTTCTTAGGCGCTCTTGGGGTGCTCTGGAGCCGTCTTGAGGCTTTCCAGGTGCGCTCCAGACGCAGCACGGTCGGCGCGCCGAAGATCAAGGCACATCCTTTTTCTAGGTATAGATGTGCCCATCGCTTTAGTACGGCTGTATGTATACATAAAGGTATTCCGGTATATATTTATATAACGATATATCCATCTTTCCATCCATACATACATCACATACATGC